TTATATTAGGCTGCACATTTTTGTCAATTTGCATGCTAGGTCTTGCATTCATGTGACTTGCGTGTACGCTGTTACCAACATTTTCCATGAATGAAAAATAGTGGAAGAAACTAGCAAGATGGGGAGATGCAAATTAAGGAAATTTGGCTCTCAATGGGAAAAGTAATGGAAATGGTTAGCTGTCGTAATTAACGATTCTGGGGCGGCTTACAAGATGAGTCGGAAAGATTTTAAACTTGGGACAATGAGAATTAAAGCAGTAAAATCCCATATGAAATCAAAAAGCACCGAGCACTACGCTGGTATTTGAAAAAGTAAGGAGCCTGGTGCTACCACACCATCAGCTCCTGCTGGATTAAAAAATACTATTCAGTATTACTACATACTATTCATTGACACTAATATAAAAAGAATAAAGTCCAGTACCAGTCCCCCACTGCAATGAACATTATAAGGTTCAGTTTTTTGTTGCAACAGTTTGAAAGGTGGGGGTTGTGGTTTTTGTTGGTGTTAAATTGTAACGTAATTGTGGTATACTGAGGGGTGTTTATATCTTGTTCAGCCTGTAAAAACATGGGTTGCAAAGAAACAAACTACAACCTCAAAGGTAGCAAAAATGGTCACTGGCGTACCTTTCTAATTTTTTTTTTTTTTTTTGCATTGGTCTTAAATTCAATTTTAAAACATTTACAACAACCGGATTCTATTATAAATGTCAAGCCAGCTGGTAAAATCATGAACATGGTAATGATTCACCTGCCACTTATGGCCTGTAGGTAAACCTCAAAACTTTGCTTACACTGAGGTTAAACAGCATCATGTTCTGCAGCTTCGTGGTCCCCTCAGTAATTACACTGACGGCTGAATAAAATGCAGTGACTGGAGGAGTTAGTCAGCAGCTCCCACAGTGCCAGGTGTTGTCGAGAAGCCCAGCCCAGACACACACAAGATTAGCAGTGTTCTGTTTGTCTGCAATCAAGCTTATTGTCTCCCTCGACGAAGTGGGCTATTTCTTCTAAATGAATTGTATTTAAAATCACTATGCTTGCTTATGTCAGAGAACATGGAGCCCAGTGTGTTTAGCTGCACTAGCTGTGTGGCTGTAGGGACTGCAGGGTTGGTCATTCCAACCATAGTTATATCTTTCAACGTGGAAGCCTATGAAGTTTAGTATAGTTGTACAATATGTGAAAATGCTTAGATTTAGGGTACAACACGGCCCTTCCTCTGGCACCAACCCCACGGCAAGTTAAAAATGGCTGCCCCAGTAGTGTTGAGGCACAAGAACAGCAAAAATAACCAAATTGTCTCTTTCTGGCTGGATTTTAAGAGCTGAAGTTTCAGGTGGGTGTAGCTTTAAACTTAGTCATGACCGTTATGCAAGTGTTCTGTAGTCATGGTGGAGTGGCATGTTTTTATTTGTACCCAGTTGTATTTGGTACTGTTCCACTGGACATTATAATTACATATGCAAGGAATACATCTGTAGAATACTCCAGTCAAAACCTAAGGATGGTGATGATGTAGTGATAATGGTGACCGCATGTTTTCCATTTCATCTGAGCACTGACTGAGTTTGTAACAGCTCACTAATGGGAGTCTATGATGATGACTGTTGGTTTGTGTTTCAGGGTTTTGTTGGACAGAGCACACAGAGATCTAGACATGTGTCAGAGCCCGGACACCGACCCTAAGCCTGACCTACTCACCTCTCCGCTCTGCAACTCTAACGCCAGTACCTCAGAAACCAATACCTCGGACCCCGCCGGCTCCTCCCACCTTCCCTCCTCTTCATCACCCCTGTCGTCGTCATCATCGCCAAAACCTATGGACCTCAGCCAGATTCTTTTGAATATTACATCTTGCCGCTGGAGGCACTTCAGACCACGGACACTACTCCATGACCCCTTGGGTGAAGGAGACTTGTCTCGTAGAGAATTTAGGGATTTTAGCCGGACAGTGTCAGGACTAACACGAACCCCGTCAGGAGGAGCCATCTCCCATAACCGCACTGGCCCAGCCCCCACCCCTATCAATGGTGAGCCAGTTGTTCCCTGTGGTGTTCAGTCATATCTGTGGTATCATATGTCTACAAATTCTAAAATCCTGTGGTCTGACCAGAGTGGAACAGTTCATTTGGTTGCTTTATTGCACTGGTTTCTTGGAATGACAAGGAGCACATTTATTAAATGTAGTTTTGATAAGTTGTCAGTTTTGACAACGGGGAACAGCTGAAAGTGGTGATAGTGATTCTGGCAGTAATTTATGGAAACACTGAGCAAAGCCTGATTGTCCTTTGTGCGCTCTGCTTTAATTAAAGAAGGCGCTGGATTCTTTAGGGCCACCTACAAAACTGAAATCTGCTAGTTATTAATGTACACTTTGATTGGTCTTATACATTTTCAGTGATGGTGTTAGCCTGGTCTTAGGTTGTTTTACAGGTTATTTCTATAATGTTAGTTTTCATTTAATTGTTTGGACAGTTTTATTAGTTTTGATTAGTTGATTTTGATGGTGGTATTTGAATATTCAAGGCAGCAGGAAATTTCAGTGCTGATGCAGTCTGAGTTTGATGATGAAGAGGAAAGAAAACGGAATGGAGACAGCGTGGTCCACTTAGCAAAATGTGTTAAAGTACAAGCAACGCATCTTTCCCACCCCAGTAAGGTAGATAGACGATGAGCTGCAACCTAATTTCCATCATAGGCCATGTGAGACGGTTGCACAGTGACTGTGTACAAAGTGCAACACCACAAAGAGCTGCTGCATGTTTTTCCAAACTAGTGTTCTCAAACTAAGAGACCATTGAAGTGTGAGGTGATTTTGGTGACACTACCCTAAGAGTGTATATTTTTCTAGTATCTCTTTCTGGTGTTGCACTTGGTAGACGGTCCCCTATCATTTGCACCCTGTAGCTGTACATGTCCACCAGCTAGACCCTTGTCTAGTTGTACCACAATGCTCTTTTTGTCTGAAGCCTCTCAAGGCTTTGCTTTTGTACAGACGTATAGAAAATCAGTTTCAGTGGCTTTTACTTCAGACAAATGTCTTTCTATGTGTGTGACAAGCTGCCAGAGAGGTAACTTCCTGTCATTATAGCTGAACACAGTACAGCTGCTATTAGTCGGTACTTTGGTTCATTTTAGCAGGCATTGTAGTAAAAAATTCAAAGTCTGTCTGCGCAGCAGCTCCCTGCTCTCATGTAGGTATGTGTGTCTCTCTCATCCAACATGCAGTCTCAACAGACCATAATCCCCACTTTAGGTCTTTTGGCTCTTAACTGAGTGGTGGGAAGGGGGGTGTTTTCAGATCAGGTCTTATTCTGTGTCCAGTTTGTCACCTGGTGTAATACAGTTCTGTCATTTGTTGATACAGCTTAGTGAGGGGGAACTCTTGGTTTGATGCAGTCGAGCTCATATCAGTTGTCATATCAGAATAAGATTTCATAGGTTTATGAACTGAGATCTAAAAACAATTGTACATCTCTAATCGGATGTAAACTAAGGGCAGCTTCAGTACAGTGCAGTTTGTTGTACTGGCTCTCAAAGTCAAATCATACCTCTGTAGTGTTTGATAAAACTGAAAAGCAACACAGCTAAATCAGTCACCCAGAAGCAGCCAGATGTTCCCAAATCCTTTTCTGACCAATGTATCTCGTTCTTCCTGTTCAGCGTTCACAGCAGAGCAGTACCAGCAGCACCAGGAGCAGCTGGTCCTCATGCAGAAACAGCAGCTGGAGCAGAGCCAACAGCAACAACACACCAACGCCCCTGCAATGATGACCAACACACAGGTCTGGAAGGATAACACACAGCCTTTACTAAACCTATATTTGCAGATAATTTTTTTTAGCTTATATTAAAAATGTATGTAGACATTTTGTGAGAGGAAAAAGGTGTCAATCACATTTATATCTACTTTACCTGCTGAAGTATCTTGCCTGACTTTTGCTGTCAGTATCATTTTGGGCAGTTTTTGTGGCACTTTTTTAAATGTGGTATTATCTGACAGATGTAAATGGAAGATTGCTCAAACTAAATGAGCCAGAGTTGTCCTTCTATGGAAATGATTTACAGTTAAAGGTCAGTTCACCCACTCTGAGGAATTAGGACACATCCACATTCCCAGGAGCAGGCAGCATTACCACACTGGCTCAGTTCCTGCTTGGCAGCCGAAGTGAGCTGAGCTCACAAGTTTAATATAATTTTACAGGGCAGTCGAGTCTTTGGCACAACCCACATGTTCTCTCTCCGGTTTCCCTCCAGGCACTTGTGTCCAAGACACTGGACCAGGCCAGCGCCCAGTTTGCTGCTTCGGCTCTCGTCACCACTGACCAGCTGCTGGGCTTCAAGTCCAAAGAGGAGCTGGTGTTGGCAAGTGGGGTCAATGGGATCCTGGCAGGTGCAGGTTAGTATCACTTATTTTATTAATCTGACCCAACCAATTAAGGCCTTGAGAGGTCACAAGCAGGCATAACTTCACAAACTGGTACCCATCACTTCTGCCTTAGGAAGTGGATTGAGAGGATTTTGTGCTGTGCTCCCTGAGGTGTCAGCAGATTAGTAACATAGTAAAGTAACATTTCTTATCTTATTTTTTCCTTTTCTTGTGAAATATTGGATAGATTAAGCTTCTAAAAATCCTTAATGAAATAAACCAAGAGGAGGGAAAAAAATCACTGATTGGCTCTTTAACAACTGCCATTCACAACAAGGCCTTGAGAGGTCACAAGCAGGCATAACTTCACAAACTAGAGGTGGTAACTACCCCGGTAATGGGAAACACAAGTTGAAAGAAACATGTCTAGGCCTTGGTATTTGGAATTTAAAAATATACGCATGCAGTTGAAGCTGCTCCGCTTGTGTGCAAACCAGAGTTGGAAAGGCTTAGCTATATATTGCAGTCCATTACAACATCATCTCCACCAGCAGCCTCAGAAATGACTGCAGAGTTGCATCAACACGTACACTCTCAGTATCAACAAAACCTGAACACTTTAAGCTGCACAGAGAAGAGGATTTACCACAGCACTGGGATTAGTTTGTACAGGGGCACCTCATAAACTGGTATTGTTACCAAATCCAGCAAAGTCTTTAAATGTAGCCAAAGAAAAAGTGAGTTTTACTGCACTTGGTTTCTTGTCACATTCTTGCTGCTTCTTGGTCTCTGTGAATGTCTGAGAGCATGTCTCCTGTAAACAGGGGTTTTCAAAGGCTTGCACTTGTCTAGCACCACGGCAGCCCTTCACCAGTCCAACCAGTCAACACACACTACCACCTCTGCGGCCCCAGCTTTCCTCCAACCCTCCTCAAACTCGGCTACCCCTCCGCCCACCAATGCTGTCCCCACCTCTTTCACCTCCACCCCCAGCGCCCATGCAGCAGCAACGCTGGGGCTCCTGGGATGCAGCGCTGCCAACGCCAACCCCGCCGCCACTCAGGTCCTCATTGGGAACAACATCTGTCTGAGCGTGCCGTCGGCCGGACGCCACATTCCCCGAACCCTCGGCAACATGCCACCATCTGCCTTAAAACTGTCCACCACCACCAACCTGCAAATATCCAAAGTCTCTGGAGCATCGTCCATGGACATTGGCTCAAGGTGAGGCTTTTGTGTCCAGTACAGCATTGATCATACAGACCTTTGAAGGAATAGTTCAACATTTTGGGATATGTCAGGAGTTGGATTAGGAAGTTCATGCCACTCATAGATGGCACTCCATATGCCTTACCTTATGTAGGAAATTATTTAGAAATCATCAAAACAGAAAGTCCTGTCTAAAAGTAATAAAATTTGCACCTCTCTTTTTAATGAACATGTTGGAAGTGGCATTCTTTATAGGGTTTTTTTTTTTATGTTAAGCTAACTGGCTGTAACTTCATATTTAGTCTACAAAGATGAATGATATCAATATCGTCTTCCACCTCTCGGCAAGACAGCGGATGTCAGTTTTCCACGTTTACCACCATCTTGACCACTAACATTCACTGTTTGAGTTGAGATCAGAGTTGCAGGTTTTGTCAGTTTCATCAGTTGCCATTCTTTCTGTACCACACATCACTTATAAGATCTCAGATTAAAAAAAAGACGATCACAGATGATTTTGAAGTCATTCTGATGCAGAATAAACAGGAATTTATGAGCAATAGTTGTGTATAAATATGAATACCCAGAGGAGAAAACAAAACCTTTATTGTATGTTTGTCAGTCTTGCTGTAGCAATATCAGATTTATGTAATGTTTCTGGAGAGGAAACACTAAATCCTTTGCAGTAACAGAGCAATCCCTGGTTTCAGTAGTTAGCTGAAACTGGTAAGTATTACCCAAACACTGTCTGTTAGAGCTCATACAGTTGAAATCGCCACAGAACTTAGTCCCTAGAAGACGAAAAGTTAAGGAGCAGTGGTGTTGATCTTTGCTTTCCTCTCGCCCACAGGGATAATCACGATGAAGAAAAGCCAGCCCTGAACAGTATAGCAGACAACACAGTGGCCATGGAGGTGACGTAGTAGTGGTGCAGTGAAGAGTCCACTCTGCAGGCGCTGTGCATCGTAGCATTGGGAATGCAAAGGGACGGCAGGACTGACGCAGACTAGAAGAATGATGAGTGGCTCTGACCACTCGCTTGCAATTCTCATCTCGTATTTTTTAAATACTTTTTTTGTTACAGTTAAAAGTAAAAGATTGATATCTGTAAATTATGAAAATGGCAAAATTCGTATCTGTACAGTAACTGCATATTTGTAATATCCCCCTTGTATATATTACTTGAATACAGAATTATCCATTTGTGATGTTTTGCACTTGGGAGTCAAAGGAAAAAAATTAAGCCAAGTAAGTGGAAAGTGTGGGAGATGTGGGAGTTATCTAGAGAAGAGTTTTATCACATCATGTGCATGGTGCAGAGCCTGCTGTTATCTATTTATTGTGCTGTGTTTACAGGTTTTATTTTAATTTTTGTTCTTTTGTTTTGTTCTGTTTTTTTTTTATTTGTACACTGTACCTTTGTTGGTTCCTGTGCTGTAGTAAGTGTTAGGTAGCTACAGACTCCTGGGTATTTTGTATATTGTGAACCCCCACCCACCCACACACAAAAAAAAAAACACATTTGTTTCAGGTCCATGTGGTGGTTCTCTCTGTGGAGCCTGTGAAAATGAGCGGTGACACACATCCAGAGCAGGAGAACCAGGAGGAGTGCTGGTGGGTGCCTCCTGTAAGCTTCCATCAACATTGTCCCAAACACAAGTAACAAAATGGGGATGAAGTCTCTTCCCAGAAGCCCCTGCTGCTTCTGATTAAAGCACTATTTTTTGTGATCCTTGTCTTTATGGTTTTGATAAATATCAATGCTGCTTTTGTATTTGGTTCCTCTCCAAAGGGGTTGTCCTTAATTTTTATGCGAGGACTCCCCTTTATATTTCTTTTGTCCCACAAACATTTTTTTGTAAAACAAAAATTCAGTTATTTTTGTATTTTCTTTTTTTAATTCTTGTGGTTAATGTGATTGTAAGCGTTGTGTTTATTGAAAGACTTCATTCTTTTGTTAATTTGTTACTTGTTCATACATAGGTGATAAGGGAAGCGAATGGGCAGTAATCGCTGCACATGTTTCATCATTCCAGTTTTTAATATCAAAAAATGCTAATGAATGGATGTAGTGGTTGTGAGAAAACAGCAGTTTTCTCCTCTTTGTATTCTTTGTCTCTTCTTTTCTTTTATTTTCTTTTATGTGGGGGGGAAAAAAAGAATCTCCAGATGGCTGCAAGGCCAAGAGCAAGTATTGGGTGCCTTCCTTTGGGGAATTTTATGTACTCTCTTCTGTGAAGAGTTAGCCACAAAGGCAGCATTACTTAGTAGTGCTTCTCGTCTTTGTCTGAATCTGAATGCCCAGTCCAATGGCAGGAGGATATATCTGAGGTTTACTTGTCCCACCTGGAGGCTGGAAAGAAAGAAAAAAAAAAAAATGTGACAGAACTCGCACTAAAATAAGACAATAAAGCCCAGGGCACTAAATGTGGATTGTTTGGAGTGTTTTATTTGTGTGTGCTTCTTCCCAGTGATCTGAAGAAAGTACTGCAACTGAGAAGTGAGAGCTGAGGTTTTATTTTTGGATTATGGATAGAATCCTAATGTTTCACTTGTTGAAAATCATGAAGATATGATACAAATGCTCTTCCTATATTCTGTTCGATTTCACAGAAATTCATTCTCACTTTAATGCTTATTGTTTTAGTTGCCCTTAAAGTAAAAACAAACATTAAAGAACAATAAGACTTATGTAAAGTTAGTAAAGGAATTGTATGTCCAGATGCAAATATTTCAGGTACCTGTACCATTAAATAAGATTAGCGGATGATCCAGCTAACACTGGGCTCAGCTCCAGTTTTCCGGTACCATGAAGCAGACTCACTTTTAATCAGGTTAGATCACCACGGTAACCTGTGCTGCTCAGCTAACCTGCTCCTGCTTCAGAGCATAACCTGTCAACAGCTTGACTGCTGACCAGTCCCATCACTGGAAAACCCGAGTGGTCGTTCCTACAGGTTCCTGACAGGGACAAAAGATGTTGCACTAATGTGATCATCAGGCTGGACTACTGCGACTCCTTACTATCAGGATGTCCCAGTCATTCCCTAAAAAGCCTCCAGTTCATCCAAAGTGGTGCAGCCAGAGTACTGACAGGAACTAGCAAGAGAGATCATATTTCTCTTATAAGTAGTAAAAGTAGAATGGGAGGCAGAGCCTTTAGCTATCAAGCTCCTCTCCTATGGAACCAACTCCCAGTCTCAGTTCAGGAGGCGGACACCCTCTCTACCTTTAAGATTAGACTTAAGACTTTCCTTTCTGATAAAGCTTATAGTTAGGGTGGATCAGGTGACCCTGAGCCTTCCCTTAGTTATGCTGCTATAGGCCTAGGCTGCTAGGGGGCCCCATGATGATCTGAGCTCCTCACCTCTCCTTTATCCTCTCACTCCATCCATCTATATGCCACCACTACATGCCACTAACTGTGTCTCCTTTCTTCCATAGTGTGTCCTCTCTCTCTCCCTGTACCTTTCTGCAGGTTGCCCTGGCTCTGGAGCTCAGGGCTTCTGATGAGCAGTCAGTGGCCACATCAACCTGCCCAGTGTTTGATTGTTTGTTGTTGTGTCTTGTTGCTTTCATTTCTCTCTCCTCTGTCCACTCACCCCAGGCAGAAGACCGCCCACCAAGAGCCAGGGTCTGTCGAGGTTTCTTCCTTTATAGTAGCTATAAGGTCTGTTTGCTGTATATTGTTGTACAATCATAATGATATAACACAATTGTACTTTGCTATTTTTTTCAATAAAAAAAAAAAAACAGGACAGGAAATGACACTGTTTTGTACAAAGTGAGAGATGACATCATTTCCTGCCACCATCTTTGTTTATGTGTGGAGAAATGCCTCCAGAAATGAATTAAATTAGAATTTTTCTTGGGCCGCACTGGATTATTCTTGGTTCCAGATGTTTGGAGGAGTCGTATAACACCTTCAGAATTTGGGTAACAGCATTTGTGGTACCAGTTTTGTGAGAAGACCATTGTTGGGCTCAGTGAATCCAAGTAAGTGGTGCAGGCCTCAGGTTATTGAGTGCTGACAAATATATCTAAGCACAAGAACCTGCCAACTTGAAATGCAATAAATCATGATGCCTTCTGGGATAGATAGCTGTAACTTTATCTTCTTATCTATTGGGCTTTTTCCGTTAAATTCACATGACCTTTTTTGCCAAAATTACTTGGTCTTGTTTATTTGTCTTTCTCTCAGATCTGAGTTAGCTTGTAACAGGAACTAATCACATATGAGAGTTTTGGGGTTTTCTTATTCTTGTATTTTTTTATTTTATTTTTAACTGTTGATTAGTTTGTCTTCTCAGGCCACATTTTCACAGTTTATTCATTACTCGTTCAACAATACATGCAATAAAGTATATGGTTTCTGCTGACAGTTTCCTTGGAGATGTGTAAGTGTGTAGCAGTGCCAGAAACACAGTGCACCTGTTGGCCACCACTGGATCAGATGTCCCAGTGAAGTAGTAACTGGGCAGGCGGAGGGCCAGGCCTATTAACGCTGTTTATCCTTCTCTCTGGATTCTCAGACAACAGGTGTGAGGCCGAAGGCAGCAGTTGAGGCAGTGGTGACTGACAGTCTGGCTCTGTGGAAACTGAGTCCACACGACACTGTGGAGTCTGTGAATTTATTTTTGCTTTTCTGCGGCTGTGAAAATACCAGAGCCAACACAGTGGGGCTCGCTGTGGCCCATATTACTCATCAGTTAATTAAATAAAAGGTGAAAAATTCAAACATTTATACCAATGAAATGTGTCCACCCACCACGTATAGCTTTTTAAGTCCTGCATATCTTACTGCCAACAAACCTAATGACTGATGGTCAGTGGTTATCATAGGTCGGATCTTTTTTTTTGCCACTTATAGGCAAAGTAGGTATCTGTGTGCAGCCACCCCTGGGGAGCGGTCACTGGGACTGTGCTGTCGGTGTAGGGACCTAAGGGGCTATTAACAGGGAGATTTCACTGTTCATTTAATAGTGTCTATCTTGATCTAAGTTAGTGTGTAGGGCCAGGAGGTGTGTGGCTGAGAACCGTGTCAAGTTGGTTAGTCAGGGGCAGCCATTACTGTGACTCATGTAAAGATTAATGGCCTTTGGCCAGTGTTCATCTGTCGGAGAGTTTTTGAGTTGCTGTGTTGAGTGCTGATAAAGCTGCTGTGTATGGGCCACACAAATTGCTACAAGATCTCTGTCTCCTGCCTTTCCTCTTAGCTGTAGGCTCACCTCATGTCTGAGGGCTTTACTTCTCTAGAGACTGTAAAAGCCCCACCTTTTTCAATATAGTATATTTTGTTAATTACAATGTCTTTTAGTAATATTGTACTAAAGGTATCAACAGATATTAACTAATCTTCTAGCTAGTCTTGTAGTCCAGTTTGAAAATTTATTGTTAAGACTTTAATTATGTAATATTTTATTTTACTTTTGTTAATGTTCCTAAATGAAGTTGTATTAATTCAAATGATTACATTTGTAACCTGGCTTACTGGGCTTGATTGGAATTGAGCAACGGTACAAGGGGTTCTCTTGCCAAAGAAGATAAGAATAACAGTATGAGGGCATCAGAACATTTACACAATCTTTGTATCTTCAGTCTATATCTTGATGGCCGGCATCCTGTGCAATGCAGTACACCCTTCTGTGGATCATATCCTTTCGGCACTCTCAACGTGAACCACCTCAAAGCTCCACAGCTTGCAGTGAGTGACACCAGCAGACTGCACACTTCCGTTCATTTGCTGGATACTGTCAGTGCTTGACCACCCCCCAGCCTTACCCTAACCGTAAAGTATATCGTCACTCTAAAATGCTATGATCTAAATGATGAGATTTGGTCCCCACGAGGAAGGCAAGCCCCACAGTGTGAGATGTAAACAGATTTTGATGGCCACTATGTGAATAATACAGGCACATACACAACATGTAACCACAGCCCGTGCTGCAGTGTCTGTTTCATGTCAGTTGCACAGTAATCACTGCAGCATTTAGGCTGCGTCAGAGTGATGCCCGAATTGGTTTTTGTATCAAACCACGGAGGCAGTCTGCTAATATTATCCCTCAGACAGTCTTCTAATTCCATTTATTTGGCTTGGGTTCAGTGTTTCATCATGCCAGAAATGAGCTGCCACTTTGATGACACATTAAAATATTCTCACATGACAACAGAGAAATCCATCTCCCTCACTCCTCAGAGCAAGTCAAATGTATTGTGCAGGGTGACTGTGGGGAATCTTAATGAGATACAGGCTCTTTGCTTCTCTTTCATTATGCATCTAGGGGCTTAGCTTTGAAGGTTCCCTATAAATGTCTTGTTATTCATCTGATAATAATGTGGAATTTTATTGATCAGGTCAAAATAGTTGATTTTGAGATAAAGGGGAACTCAACTGTACTGTAAAGCTGTTAGCTCCTGCACCTCAGCATGATGTGGGTGAGTAAAATGTTTTCATGCTGGTATCAAAGATGGCCAGAAATACAATACTGTGATGCAGTTCATAAACAAAGAAAAACAGAAACTGACTTTTGCTTTAATACCACTCTGCACGGCCTCTGACCTCTCGACAACAGAGCAATCCAGTGGGGGTCACGTTCAGCCTGTAATGACAAAAGTGCAGCTTCATCGATCTGGCAGCAACCCCCCGTCCTTCAGCACTTCAGTCACCTGCTGCTGCTTTGCCCACTCATCAGTGTTTGTTTGTATCCCAGAGATCTTCATAACCCACAAAATGCAAGCCTGAGTCAGGTTAGATTAAAGCCCTAGTCAAGTCTCAGACCTCTGTTTCGTGCTCGACATAGGTGACTTTTATTTTTTTTCCCAGTAGTCTTTAGATACTGGAGGCAGTTTTTTTCTGTTAGGCACAGGTGTTTTGAAATCTTTATACGCTTAGGCTACAACACCTGTTACCAATCCTGTCAAAAGCACAGGTTGCCACAGTTTGCATTGTGTGTTGTTTGGCAGAAGCATGCTGTAATGTAAAGAGTTATAGATGCTTGTAAAACCCACAAGTTTATTCATGAGTTCGAGTCAATTAGGTATGAGTTTCAAATCAAGTTGGACACGTGTTTATGTGGGACTCAAGTATGAGTTAGTGATGTGCACATTGATCCTGAAACATTGATACTTTCAGTCCCAGCGTTTCCTGTTCTAGTATCTGTTCTCACTTTAAAAGATTGATATCTGTACTCAGTAGTTTGAGGTAAATTTATATTTTATCATAAATATGGGACACAGTAGAAGGTAACGATGCTATCACCAGGATAGTCCAAATAATACCCAGTTGAAAGGAAATACTCCTTCCGCCTGATGTAGTTATATGTGAACTATGCCTCTGTGACGTGAGGTATGGAGAATCAGAATAAGAACATCTTTATTAGTGCTGCAGTAACAAAGTGGATGTGCTGGGAGGAGGCATGTAAACAGTAATCA